AGAAAGGTATAACCCCAAAACGGTTCGCCGTTCTGGGCCCTACTGGGGATGCTATGAGGTGGATTGATGCCGAGATTCTCTGCCCGCCCGACCAGCCTATTAGGGACTGCAGTCGCCGCTCGCTGCCCTTTGCCCGCCTTCGATGCCCCTCGCTGCCCGTACTGGTTCCGCGGTCGCCTTCGCTCGCTGCCCTTCGTGGCCCCGTTGCTGCCCTCAGTGGCCCCGTCGCTGCCCATTGTGGCCCCGCATTATATGCCTTTCGTGGCCCCTGCTCGCAGTCGCCCGTCGTGGCCCCATACGCATGCCCTTCGTAGCCCCGCTGTCGCCCTTCGTGGCCCTCTCGCTGCCATTCGTGGCCCCGTTGCTGCCCTCAGTGGCCCAGCTGTCGCCCTTTGTGGCCCCATATACGAATGCCCTTCGTGGCCCCCGTTCGTTTGCGCCCGTCGTGGCCCCATATGCATGTACAGTATTGGTTCCGTTTGCGCGGAGTTTGCTTTGGCAGTGCGACGGTGGTGACTTCATTGCTCTGGGTTTACGCAGTGGGAAAAAACCTTCGTGCCCCACTCGCTGCCCTTCGTGGCCCCGCTGCAGCCCTTCGTGGCCCCCTCGTCGCCTTTCGTGCCCCCGTCTATGTATGCCCTTCGTGGCCCCGCTCGTTCGCGCCCGTCGTGGCCCCATATGCATGCGCTTCGTGGCCCCGCTGTCGCCCTTCGCAGCCCCCATCGCTGCCTTTTGTGGCCCCGTTGCTGCACTCAGTGGCCCCGTCCTTGCCCTCCGCGGCCCAATATACGAATGCCCTTCGTGGCCCTCGCTCGTTCGCGCCTGTCGTGGCCCCATATGCATGCCCTTCGTGGCGTCGCTGTCGCCCAATGTGGCCCCATCGCCGTCGTCGTCGTCGTCGGCGTCGTCGTCGTCGTCGTCGTCGCCGTCGTCGTCGTCGTCGTCGTCGTGGTCGGTCCCCTGTCCGTCCCTGTCGGGGTCGGGTTGCCGCCGATCAGCGCTGCCGCTGGCCGGGCCGACGGTCCGCGGCCGCCCCGCCGCTTGCTGGGGCCTGGCCTGCAGGGAAGAAAGATATACCCCCCAAAAAGGGTACGATCGGAGAC